CCAAAGTAATTTACAGATTCAATGCTATCCCCATCAAGCTACCAATGACCTTCTTCACAGAGCTGGAAAAAAACACGTTAAACTTCATATGGAACCAAAAGAGAGCCCGCATAGCCAAGTCAATTCTAAGCAAAAAGAACAAAGAGGGAGGCATCACACTACCGGACTTCAAACTATACTACAAGGCTACAGTAATCAAAACAGCATGGTACGGGTACCAAAACAGAGATATAGACCAATGGAACAGAACAGAGGTCTCGGAGGCAACACAACATATCTACAACCATTTGATCTTTGACAAACCTGACAAAAACAAGCAATGGGGAAAGGATTCCCTGTTTAATAAATGGTGTTGGGAAAACTGGCTGGCCATGTGCAGAAAGTAGAAACTGGACCCTTTCCTGACACCTTACACTAAAATTAACTCCAGATGGATTCAAGACTTAAACATAAGACCTAACACCATAAAAACCCTAGAAGAATATCTAGGCAAAACCATTCAGGACATAGGCGTAGGCAAGGACTTCATGACCAAAACACCAAAAGCATTGACAACGAAAGCCAAAATAGACAAATGGGACCTAATCAAACTCCACAGCTTCTGCATGGCAAAAGAAACAGTCATTAGAGTGAATCGGCAACCAACAGAATGGGAAAAAATTTTTGCAGTTTACCCGTCTGACAAAGGGCTGATATCCAGAATTTACAAAGAACTAAAACAGATTCACAAGAAAAAACAAACAAGCCCATTCAAAAGTGGGCAAAGGATATGAACAGATACTTTACAAAAGAAGACATACAGGAGGCCAACAAGCATATGAAAAAATGCTCAACATCACTGGTCATCAGAGAAATGCAAATCAAAACTACATTGAGATACCATCTCCCGCCAGTTAGAATGGCGATCATTAAAAAATCTGGAGACAACAGATGTTGGAGAGGATGTGGAGAAATAGGAACACTTTTACACTGTTGGTGGGAGTGTAAATTAGTTCAACCATTGTGGAAGACAGTGTGGCGATTCCTCAAGGACCTAGAAACAGAAATTCCATTTGACCCAGCAATCCTGTTACTGGGTATATATCCAAAGGATTATAAATCGTTCCACTATAAGGACACGTGCACACGAATGTTCACTGCAGCACTGTTTACAATAGCAAAGACCTGGAACCAACCCAAATGCCCATCGATGATAGACTGGATAGGGAAAATGTGGCACATATACACCATGGAATATTATGCAGCCATCAAAAACGATGAGTTTGTGTCCTTTGTAGGGACATGGATGAACCTGGAAACGATCATTCTCAGCAAACTGACACTAGAGCAGAAAATCAAACACCGCATGTTCTCACTCATAGGCAGGTGTTGAAAAATGAGAACACATGGACACAGGGAGGGGAGCACTACACACTGGGGTCTGTTGGGGGGAAATGGGGGAGGGACAGAGGGAGGAGGGGAGTTAGGGAGAGACAGCATGGGGAGAAGTGCTAGATGTGGGTGATGGGGAGAAAGGCAGCAGATCACACTGCCACGTGTGTGCCTATGCAGCAATCTTGCATGTTCTTCACATGTACCCCCAAACCTAAAATGCAATAAAATTATAAAAAAAAAAGAAACTTTGATCATGGAGTTGAAGGTGAGTGACAACGTCGAACAACTTTTATTATAAAACAGTGAATACTGTAAAGTTGATTCAATTAAATAATGACTTACAACATTTGTTTTTTTCTTTTGGTATAAATATAGTATGCCTCAAATTTGAAATTTCAGTAGATAGTGACTACAGTCATAGAAATTATAATCCCATGCAATCACCTTAACTGGAGGAATATGTACAGAAAGGCTTCATGTTGACTATAAAACTAGACTTGCAACATTTCCCACATGCTCGACATTTACAACCATTAACTGCAAACTGAGTGTGGTTTAAAAATAAGTGAATTTAAGACTTGTTTTCCCAAAGGAAGCTTATGATCGATACCATTTCACAATTATAGTCAACTGTGATTTCAAGTAATATTATCCACAAAAAGTCACTTCAAATTATCTTCTAAATTCCAGAGTAAAGATGCTGTATAGCAGGCTGCTGATTTGAGTATCAGACAGTATAGAAATCAATGCAAATGCTAAAAGTAAAACTTTAATAGGAAAGCAGAATATGACTGACTTCAGTAGATCCAAACCAGTAAAATAATGACATTTTTAATGAGTAACATAAGATCTCTGACACTTATTTCTTAAGCTACATTACTTGAAAAGCCTTCAGACATTATTTTATTCCTGTTGCTCAATCCTGGACTCAATAATTGTACATAAGTTACTGTCCATCGTTTATCTTAAAGTTAAATCTAGATTTAGGGAAAAAAAATCCATCAAATTGCTGTGATTACATTAAAAAGTAGAAAATTTGGGGGTAGAAATAAGAAATTAATGGTTTCTGTATAGGACAGAGCTAAAATTAAAAATTAGGTACATATGGGAAAGGTTAAGAAAGAAACATTGATACAGTGGCATTATCATCACCCATGGCAACAATTAACCCAAACTTTTATTGAGCATTTGCTATCTACAAGAAACTATTTTAAGAAACTATTTAACATCTATTGGAAACTATTTAACAACTATTTAAATAAGAAACTATTTAACTAGTTAATCTTTTATTTTATCCCTTTCCTTTATGGTATTTATGGACATTTACCTCATTTAATTATACCAGCAACTCTGTAACTTTAATTATACCAACAACTCAATTTTACCAATGTAGAAAGTGAATCACAAAGAGGTTAAATAACTTGCCCAAAAGCAAACACAAAATGGTATAAAAGATGCCTCATTTCACAGTAAGAAACAAAGACCATCTCCCCCTGACCATGGCACATTGTTTTGCCCAAATGGACTTACCGAAATACATGGAAAAGCAAACAGGAAAATATTAAGAATGCCCCAAGAGCAGAAAGCACTAGAATAATGATAATATTAACTGCACCAAAAACTTAAAAGGAATATAAAAAGGATGTCTTTGGAATCTAAGCAGTAGGAGATGACAAAACAAAACATGTACACAAAAATCACATAGTAGGAAAATAATTTAAAGACCCTAAAATAAAAATGTTTTAATTATGCTGGTTGTTTTTCAAATACCTGTGCTGTTACATGACAGACTAACTTATCACAGTTATACATCTCTCTTCACAAATTCTCAACTATCACAGGGATTTTACAAACTGTATAAAACAAAGTAGGAATTACATCCAAGCATTGATGAAATGTGCTTCTTCTCTATAACAGGAGGCCAGTTCACATTTCTTGACAATCCTTAAACTGACAAAGCAGCATTTTGCCTTTTTTTTTTTTGAGACGGAGTTTCGCTCTTGTTACCCAGGCTGGAGTGCAATGGCGCGATCTCGGCTCACCGCAACCTCCGCCTCCTGGGTTCAGGCAATTCTCCTGCCTCAGCCTCCTGAATAGCTGGGATTACAGGCACGCACCACCTTGCCCAGCTAATTTTTTGTATTTTTAGTAGAGACGGGGTTTCACCATGTTGACCAGGATGGTCTCGATCTCTTGACCTCGTGATCCACCTGCCTCGGCCTCCCAAAGTGCTGGGATTACAGGCTTGAGCCACCGCGCCCGGCCTTGCCTTTTCTACAACAGTCTCATCATGTAGGCTCAGTGGGTGGTTTCCACTTAAAATGGAAGGAAACCGAGAACAGAAAAAAACTATCTGGCCTAGGTCAAAAAGTTTCATCTTCTTATTACAAATTCAGGGACTTTCTGCCAAATCACACTGTCTTCTAAAAATTACAGCTTTATTAAAGTGGCAGAATTTGTCAGTAAAAAGTGATAGCTGGTTGTCCTCAACCCCTAAATGAACACCATTCATACATTCTAAAATGGTACTTGTAATAAATGCCTGCTTTGTGGCCAATGCTTATGAGGTCCTCTGGCTACAAACATGAAAAAGATCTGTGGAACTCATAGTATAGTGGGAAGAGAAATACATAAGCAGATAATTATACCTTAAAGAGAGAACCATTTATAATAAAATACAGTAACATACCAACTGCTACCAGTGCTGAGCATCATACCCTGATGAAGGAGGTCATGGTAGAGACAGGCTACCCAGTGAACCAGTATAGTAAAAGGAGAATGGTGGGCACCACACCATCTGGATCTGTGAGAGGAGTGACCAGGGAGTGGCTGGCCCTTCTACAAAAGGATACATACAATTCTAAGAGAGAACCAGAAAAGGGTTAGGGACAAAGTTGCTGGGGTGAAAGTGCCATGAACCTGCTGTGGTGGTCACTTCTTAAGGGTCCAACACAGGGGCTGTCATCCTGAGCCTATCTTAGAGATAACAGAAAAAGGAGAAACTAATCCTGTGTGAGAGGAAAGTATTTCCTCTAGAGAAAATGACCATAAACTCAATACTGAATAGGAATGTGCCAGGCAGGGAAAGTGAGAGTGGGAGCGGGGATGTGGGTAATGATGCATCCAACAGTAACAACAACAATAAAGAACAGTTTCTGATTATGTATTATGAACTGACACTATACATGTGTTTCTAAATTATTCATTATAATATTACTGCATCCCTAAAGAGATAAGCACCATTATTAACATATGCATTTTACAAATGAAAAAAATTAAGACATAGAAAGGTCAGGTAACCAGCTCAAAAGAAACTGTTATAAGAACTCAAATTCAGTGAGTCTGAGTCTGACCTCAGAATCCATACTCTTAGCAACCATGATAAATAACTTGTACATATTGAATTTTAACAATATTACAATATTCTAATTTCAAAAGTATCACCTTTAAGATTCTTCTATGAATTTATTTCATAGATTTGATACATAAAATTTTTCAAAAGTCTATAGTAGTCCCACAGAGACATTTAAAAATCAACTTAAAAAAAATTCACGAGTAATGTTTTCTAAATCTTACTGTAGCAAACAGTGATAAGTGTACAATCCACATCATTATGACTGCCAGTGAGTAAACTTTCCAGCCCGCGAGGTCTGGCTGAGTTTTGTACGAGTGTGCGCCGTGAAACAGAGGTTCACTCAAGCTGCTTATGCCTCTTACTGCCTCTCCATTTTCTCTAATCATCCCTGCTCCACTGGCTCCTTTGTTTCTGCCTTCAAACAGCACCAGGTCTCCCAAATCTGCAACTAAAAAAGTTTTAAACCATCCACAAGGCCCTATTGTGTTTTATAACTACATTCTACTCCCAACAGACACCAAAAGGGAAAGCTGGCATAAAAGACGGTACAGTTAAATGAGCTCTAGATTCTGGACATTCTTTGCTTGTTGCTAACAAGCTATGTGACCTTAAGAAATTTATTTTTAAGCAATATGCCTCCATTTACCAGTTGGTAACAAAAAAAATGGCTAATACGGTCTGAAAGGTCCATTCAATTATTGTAGCCAACAAAAAACGTGTATCTGGAGAAGGTACTTTGCTACAGCATAGCTTAGACACAAGTATTTCATAGCCAGTTAAATCAAAATGGTCTTTACTTAACAAAGATCACTTCACTTAATAGACTGTATTTTTCAAATACAGGCTGGGCACAGTAGCTCATGCCTGTAATCTCAATGCTTTTTGGAGGCTGAGGCAGGAGAATCACTTGAGGCCAGGAATTTGAGACCAGCCTGGGCAGCATAGCAAAACCCAGTCTCTACCGAAAAAAAAAAATTTTTTTTTAATTAGCGGGCTGGTCCCAGTTACTTGGGAGGCCGAGGCAGGACAATCACTTAAGCCCAGGAGTTGCAAGCTGCAGAGAACTCTAATTGCGCAACTGCATCCCAGCCTGAGCAACAGAGTGAGACCCTGTCTCTCTAAAAACAAACAAACAAAAATTAACAATACAATACTACTGTACATAGGGAGGCAGTCACTATGAGAATGGAGGCAAAAGGAACAACTTTAATGGAAATTTTTTTCATTAAAGCTTTGGTTCTAAAAATCCAAATATTCTCTACCAGAGCTATATTTTTATTTCAAGTATTTTTAGAATTTCTCTGTATTGCTACTATATAAGTAAGGAATCTGTGGAGAGAAAACATCCTTCTCCTTGAAAGACAAGAAACATGCTGTTTTTTTTTTTTTTTTTTTTTTTAACTTGAATGCAATTTAAACTAGGTGTGAACTGAAAGCAGTAATTCTTTTAGAAGGTTCATTCTGTTTCACACCAAATTGGACCATATATATCATCAAATGATTCTAGCATTATAGTTATGGGAGAGTGCTTCAAAATTATACTTCAAAGAAATGGCACTGCTAAAATCTTTCTTAATGGGAACTGCATTAGCCAGAGTTGCTGTCAGAATAACGGCCCAGTAGAACTGCTCATTTTTAGAGAGGCTTACATACTTTCATAGGCATATGTATACTAGAGAAGAACATAAAGCCATATAATTCTACAAATATTTTATTAGAATCAATGTGAGATTAAAGCATAGGTGCAATGCATTGAAATCTACCCTGTAATTACCACTTGAGCAATCTTTCCATAAAGATAGAAGGTAAAGTAGTTGTCAAATGTAGGCCAATCTGAGACTGCATAATATTAAACAAGAGAACAGATATCGTAACTAATATTCTACTTTGAACCAAGTTCTCTTAAAAACATCTGGAGTTCTAAACCTAATGCTAAGACAGTTAATAAAATCAACAATCCCAAATGAACTCACTCCTGATGAAAATAATGTAAGAGCCTAACTACGGATAGTTAGTATGCTCAAAAAGAAAAAGCTCATTAGTTTGAAGACACCCATGTCAAAAAGATTGCCATGGTTAAATCGATTTCATGTAATTTAAGATCCCTCTTAAAAATTCACACCACATATTAAAGACCAAATAATCCCAAAGTAAAGAAAGAAATCTTGCTTAACTTTGTTTAGCTCAGGTTTTCCCAACTTTATTTAACCAGAGAGCCCCTTCCTCGTTTAATAATAAGCAAGCCATATTGACTGTATATTAAGCGCCTGACACTATTTTATGCTTTATATAAACTAACTTATTTAATCCTCACAACAAGCCTAATAGGGTAGGTAGTACAGCAGAAAAAAGTTAAATGCCTTTCCCAAGGTCACATGGCTGGTAAGTGGCAGAGGCAGGGTTTGAACCCATGATAGTCTGTCTGCCTCTAGAATCTGCCTCTTCATCATCAGGCTATACTGCTTCGGAATATCTATTAGAGGCCAAGAAATTGAGGATCCCTGGAATTCTTATTGGCAAATGTTAACATAAGGTAATTTGTACCTATACAAAAAAGGGAAAAGAAAGGATTACACTGAAAACAGTGTGAGAAAATGGACAAAAATCCCAACAGTTAACTCGTTGTGTTTTGCTGTTAAGACTAAGAAAGATTTCTTTTTTTTCCTTTAAAATTTTTTTTATTGTTTCAGTCTTCCTTCAAGAAATTAATAGGCATAGTTAACTAAATGCTTATTCTATGAAAGGTACAATGCTAAGTACTTTACACACATTAAATCATGAAATCTTCATCCCTTTGAAGCAAGACGAAATGGGACACTGTTATCTCCATTCTGCAGATAAGGAAACTGAGGCTTAGATGTCAGTGGTTCTCAAAGTATGGTCCATGAAATCAAAACCATTTTCATAATTAAACTTGTTTTTTTTTCCAGTGCTAACTTTTGCACTGATGATTTTAAAAAGCTATGGTGGTAAAACTACTGGTTCCTGGCACAAATCAAGGCAGCAGTAGTACTGTAGTGCGGCATCAGTGATTCCTCACTCAGTGTTTTAAAAAGTCAGTTTAACTTAAGAATGCCCTTGCTGCAGTAGTAAAGGGTGTTGACTTTATTAAACATCAATCTTCAATGGAGGTCTTATTACCATACTGAGTAGTGATGAAATGGAAAGTGCATACAGAGCTCTGTGCAGCACAACCAAGTGCAACAACTGTCTCAAGAAAAAGCGCTTCAACGATTAAATTGTTTGAATCATGAACATTTTCATAAAACACTGTTATTACTTGAAAGAATAACTGATTAAGCAACTGTCACTCAAGCATTGAGTATTTGGCAGGCATTTTCTCAAATTTATCTTAAGTGAGCCTGTCACTTGAAGGAAGATAACTGATACAGAATTTATTGCCACTGATGATATTTGACCTTTCGAGTAAAACTTAAAACTTTGGAAAACTTCTACCACCAGGAGCTTGACATCTTACTACCGTTTAAAGGCTTTTCTGATGAAACTGGTGGTGATACTAATGTAGTATGTATTTTTCTCTAATTAATTTAGCACAAAGTCAACACAAGGCAAAAAGATTTAAGGGGAGGTTTGCTAGAAGTTTTTGAAAAAGGAGATTGCTCCTGCTTCAGGGAATGCTTTCAGAGGCCAACCCTGTCTCTCTTTCTGAGTAGTATTACCCGTGGATATAAAGCCTGGAACTACTCCCGTGATTCTGACCTCAAAGGGAAGCCAACATCAAGATGGAGCTGACAGTGCAGAAGGCAAAGAAGAGATGGAAGAAACTATGGCACAGGCAACTTAATTAAGCAGTGAATTAAATCACTCCTGAAACCCATCCTACCTTTGGACCATCCAATACAGACTCTTAAATGTTGAAACCAATTTGAATCGGGTATTACGTTACTTACAATATAAAAACTCCTAATTTGAGGCATACTGCTAGATTAAACTAAAATTTCAAAAACAAATATGAATGTAATACTCTTATAATTAAAGAAAAACTTCTACTGGAAAAATCCACATTGAGTTTATATAGTTTCATATGGAAATAACATTATTTTAAATTACCTTTTCAGTGTTCTTGTATTTTTCCCATCCTTTGAGCATTTTCAGCCATTTGGTAGTTCTTTCAATTTCCAGGTGCTTTTGCTAAAATAAAATTGATATTCATTGTTACTGTTGTTCGTTTCTTTACTTACAAATTATAAAAAACTTCAAAGAAAATGCTGCTTAAGAAAAGGACTACTAAAAAAAGTTATGCTATATTAGGTAGCAGATATCCTATCTAACTTAAAAAGGTGGATAATATCAGAACTGTATCAATAATAGTCCATAGCTAAAGTTAAGATTAACAGGAAATGCTCTATCTAGGTAAAAGGACAAAGATATTTAAATTTTCCGAGACTTTCAAAGTAACCAAAAATCTTGTGTATTCTACAAATTTAAACAAAAAGAAAATTTTAAAATATTTTGAAATATTTTACAAAGCTACAAAAACACAACTTCAAAATTTAATTCTCTTTTCATTTTACTAAATTCTAGTATATTGATGTTTTTGGAAAGAGTTGTTTTTTTAAAGTAAAAGTGGCTGTTTATTTATTTATAGAAAGATTAATGTATAACTAGCCCTACGCTAGAGGAAATTATTTAAAAAAATAATAAACAATAGTTGCTGCCCTAAGGAAATTTGACCAGGTGCTAACAACAGACAACGGACACACTGCATTGTGGGCGGCACCAGTGCAGGAAGCAAGGCCATAGCAGAAGGGGCAGTCAAATCCACCTAGGCATGCCAGAGAAAATGAGCCCAAAATGAGGAAAAGGGAGATTAGGGTTTTCATCAAATGCAATGTAGGAAAGAACGTTCTAGGCAGCCGTGAGAATGCATGTATTTCTGAGACAGCAGGGGCTAACAGCAGCTCCAAAGGGTTTACAAAAGCAGCAGGACACCAGGCTGCCAAATTTGGCAGAGGTCTCTTGCATGCCCACTAAAGTGACATGGGGGAGCAGGGCTGGGGAATGGGTGGGGAAAGTGAGAGAGAAAATGCTTGCTCTTTACTTCTTTGATTTCCAGGAGGAGGAATATTTTTCCTAAGTACCGGCACCTATGAGTGTAGCACGTATTTGAATAAAAAGCAATGGAAATACAAGTCTACACAGAAAGAAAATCATTCTGAGGATACATTTTATGCTCAAAGATGCAAGCTCACTACAATCCCACAAGATAGGTATGATCATCACCATTTTACAATGAGGAAACAGAGGCATAAAGGGCTTAAGAGACTTGCCCCAAGTCACCCCTCTCATAAGTGGTAGAAGATGGATTCAAAGCCAGGCAGCCTGGCTCCAAGATGTACACTCTGAGCCACCACATCTCTGGCTCCCATCCTGTCCTCTGCTCTAGTTCAGGCAATCATGGTTCCTGGATGGAAGCAGCAGCTCCTTACTGTCTGTGATCCAGCCTCAAACAGGCAGGCATTATGCTGGCAGATGGCATATATGCCTCACTACCAATATTTTTAGACCTATAAGAAGCATAAAATTCCAAAGAAAATCATGAACTTAGGAAGAGTATCTCACCAATGAGGATATTTTTAATCAAATTTCATTTTTAAGCATATTCTTAAAACTCTTAAATTACTTAAATCTTTTTAAAATTTTCGATGGGTTTGTCATAATAAAAGATGAGCACTCATGAGAAAAAGATATTCTGTTATAATTCACATTTTTCAAAAGGCTAAGTATATTCCTCATTAGATTATTACTGATAAAATGTTGCAGAAGGTTCCAGAAATATGTTTAATTTTAAAACTCAGTGGGGCACTGAAATCTAATTAATGTTTCTGCTAAATGTGGCTTCAGAGAAGGCCAAGCTGTGAAAAATTAAGATTGATCTAAATTGCCATTTGGTATTTTCTGTTCTTCTGTACTTTCTCCCCTGACTTCTTCAAAGCATAATCCTTTTTTCTACCAACAGGAAAACACCAAATAATTTAAGCCAACCCAAGAGTATAATAACATACACTTTGCCAGGAACAACCATGCTGAGATCTAGCAGGTCTCTTGCTATCTTTCATTTTTATGACCATGAATTACCAATGAATCACTTTAGGAAGTAGTCATTTTTTTAAAGGCACATTTTCACATTCTAATGCTTATCATACATACAGATTATTTTAAATGCTACACATTCCCACACTGCAAGAACAAAACACATACACACACCACAAAATTTAAGAATCATTAAGTACGTATTCTTTTCCTTACAGCATGTGCACATGCACACACACACACAGACACACACACACACACACACAAACAGATATACCTTGGGAAGCTATAGGATCTTAAAATTATAATTTTAATCAGTAATTCAATCCAGTTTAAGTTTTAACTCCATAATGTTGTCAGTTCAACAATATCAAACTTCAATGCACATGAAAGTCTTCTTCCCCCACTCATGAATCTAAAATTCATAGATGAAATATATTTTCTCACTAAAGATGCTGAAGCTAACTATTCTAGCAACCATTTTGAAGAAGTGACTGAAAACATACTCATATGTGACAAATGTGAACTTAAGTGCCCTAGAAAAATAAGCTAAGAAATGTCATTTTGCCATAGACGAGACCACACCAAGACAAAACTAGACTATGACAGTGTATTAGCAACTCTACTTGAAGTTCAACAGACTTTAAAGTTGACATATCTGAAACTATTTTTCCAAACATGTTGCTAGTACCCTTCTGTCCCTGACATGAACTAACAGTATCACTACCCACTAAGTCCTCCTTTTCTCTCACTTCCCACCCCCGAATCACACTCTGCTGGGCTCATGTTCTGTCTCATGCTTCCATCCTGTCCTCTGCCCTAGTTCAGGCATTCAGTTCCTGGATGAAAGCAGAAGCTCCCTGCTGGGCTCCCTGTCTTCACTCCAGCCTCCACTGCTACCACAACTCTTTACACATGTCCCAGTTGAGAAGCCTTCTATGGCTACCCATTTTCCAGAAGTAAAGTTCAAATTTCTTAGCACAGCACACATGAGCGAGCAACCTTTCAGAATGTGGCCCAGTTCAACTTCCAGTTCTACCTCCTGCTACTTCTGTGATCCGGCCACCCTGAACTATCTGTCTTTCCCATATACAATGCATTTTCAGCCTTTGTGACAAATGATTGTTATTTGTCTGCCTGTGATGTTTTCTCACCATCATTTGGTAAAATCCTATGCACCCTCTCAAGACCTAGGTCCAATGTCCAAGGCCTGAAACCTTTCCTAGTTGCCTCCATGTTCCAAACAAAACCAACTGTTCCCTTACCACGCTATGGTATGCATTCAAGACCCACATAACCTGGGTTCAAATCTGAGTTCTGTCCCATACTGTTTCATTTGGAGCAAACTACTTAACCTTTCTGTCTCATCTACAAAATGAGAATCATTTTTATCATTGTTACAGCACCTAACACCTGTGTTCTAGCTGGCCTAAATGCCCAAACTGTATTACCAAAGTATGAACTTGACTATAGAGACTGTATATATTCATGTTTTTATCACCTAAAACAGTAATTGTTACATAAGAAAAGTTAAACATTTAAAAATTAAACAGAATTTACCTAAGAAAAAACAACTGAACAACACTATGAAGGAAATAATAATATTCCGTGGTCTCGAGGTGGAGAGGTGAGAAGTAGAATAAATATGAACAGACAGACTGAAGCCAGAATGTTATTTCTGATAGCAATGTGATCACTATAATATGGAAGTAACCAGAAGTTAATAATATCCCGTATGTGGCAGAATGCTGGAAATGGAATTATTCTATCATGCGGGTAACACTTCTCAAAGTGCTGCCAAAAGGCAGAGCTGCTGATGTTAGCAGCCCACAGGAAACTGATATTAAATAATTCTGTTGGCTTCATACACAAACATCTTACTTCTCTCGATTTGTATCTTGAAGTACTGCAAACCTACAGAAAAGTTGACAGAATAGCATGCCATATACTTATAAATGCTTCATGAGACTCATGGATTATTATCCTTTTGCCAGATTTCATTTATATTGTTTGGGTTTTTAGGGGGAACTGATCATTAGAAAATCACGACATGAATAGTTCATCCCTAAAGATTTCAAGTATGTAACACCTAAGAACAAAAACACATTCTCCTACATGATTACAGTACCATTACACCCAAGAAATTTAAAACTGATTATTACCTCAAAAACAGGCCATACACCAAATTCCCCACTTGCCCCAAGACCGTTCTTTATAGCTATTTTTTTCTGTGCTGTGGGCAACTTGGAATCCCAATATGCATCCTGCATTGCCTTTGCCGGCATGTCTCTTGCAGTGCCCTGGCCTTTGTCTTTGATGACACTGACGTTTTGAAGAGTTCAGGCCATACTATTTGGCTTTATGTGATTGGCTCCTCTGGATTTAAGCAGGATTACCACCCAATGACATTGTCTTTCCCACCACATCATATCAGATGCACATGATGCCAATCTGTATCACTATCAGTGATGATGCTACAGGTTCATCATTCAGTAAAGGTTAGTATTTGCCCAATTTTTCCATTAGTAGAGAAATTCCCTTTTGTAACTAATGAATAATCCATGTGATATGCTTTGAGACAGTATGCAGATCATGTTCCTTAACAACTCTACCCAATGGTCTCATCATCCACTGATGGTCCCTGCCTGAATCAATGATGACTGTGATAGCGGTAAAATGGTGTTTGGAATCATTCCTTCTAAATTATTAACTTTGAACATTAAAACGTTTTTCTTTTCTAGCTCTGCCTCCTTTTAATATCATTAAAGTCTAAAGAATTATTTGATTCAATGTATTATAATCCACTATCATCATTATTCTTTTTGAACTCCAAACTGTCCCCTGGGAGCTGGTTAGACTACCTCCCAAATGAGGAGCAATTTCTCCCCTTCAAATGTGTCCTTTTGATATGCCCTATTCATCCTTATCATCTCTTAGTGTTCTGGTACAAAATGATTTTGGCCCAGCTTATATTCTCCCTATCCAACCTAGAATCAGCCATCGCTTTAAGAACCTGTGATTCCCTTTAGTGGAGAGGATGTTCAAAACTAAATTTTGGGCACAACATGTGCTTCTCACCAATGAAAATTTTAAAACTGTATAGAAGACCCAGACATAAGAAAATCCTACTTCTCTCAGAATATCAGAGCAACATACAGCCAAGGAAAATAATGCTGAGGTCATCATCTACACCTTATACTCCCTTTGCCAGCTCTCCATTATCGCTACTGGCTAAGAAAATGGTGCATTGCTGTTTACTTTTCTTCCCTTGAGCTGTTTTCAGGGAAGGACTAAACTTCTATTTAAAGTGTATAATGCTCTATTGTCTTAAGTGGATGTTGCCTCTAAGTCAGAGCTGGCCTCTCCTAATGGGGCAAGGAAGGTGGAAGGATTAAAACTGGAACCAGTATTTTCTTTGTTGCATCTCAACCTCCAGAGATCTAAAGCTATATTTTCAACCCTGTACAGGACCAGCTGAATAGCAAGTATTCAATAATGGTTTGTTGAATCATCTATATAGATTTGTCTGCTATCTGGTCCAAGGCCCTTTCAGCTATTAACATGGCTAATAATTCAGAGAGTAAAGCCTAGACACATACACAATGCATGGATGGATATTACATAGCCTTCTCTTGTAGAATAAGAAATCCTAGGTTTTGTTCAGATTCAAGTCTTCAGATGCTTTTATGGCTCTATTTGAACATTGGTGTGTATTGTGATACAGTAATTATATGATCTCTGCCCGCAGTTCCCCTTGGAGATCGTGGGAACCTCTAATTTATAGCCCCTCCCACGTGATATCCTGGGGCTTTCAACTGGCTTCTGATGTGACAAGCAATCTTACGGAAGTGAGTTCTTAACCTGTCAAGTCTGCACCTACTCTGGTTAGTGTCAGAATTGAGTTAAATTATAGAAAATCCAGTTAGTGTCAATTTGGGGAAAAACCAACACACATCTTGGTAACCAGAAGTCTTCTGTGCTGTGTCAACTATGGTTTTCATTTCAGTTAGGACTCGTGAGTGAAGATGAAGCTGAGGGGAGTCAGGCATACCTAGACCTCACCAGCAGAGGTCAGAAGACAACAAGAAGTACTAAAAGAAATGTATTTTTCCAGAAAATCCTGGATTGAAAAGTCTATCAGTCATGTATCTTGAATAAAATTTCATATGACATTAAATTAAGACATATTTTTTAAAGATATAAATAAGTTCCAATATTCTATACACCATGCAGAAGACTGCACTACATGAAGGGATAGTGGAATCTATGAAAATTCATAGTTTTACATATCTGTTCCTCCTTATCAAAATCATCAATAAGCTCAAAGAAACAATATAATCCATTGTTAATACTTTTCTCTACAGAGTAAATATAATGTTTGTTTATGTGTTTAAGTGTCTGTTTGGGGGAAACCGAAGCACTTAGTAAACACCAACACTAATCTTCTTAGGAGGGTACTGTATACCACTCTCCCTTTTTTAAACAGAGAGCTGCCTTATGTAAAATAATACATTGGCAAAGCTGCAAGGAAAGCTATGATTACCTGACTATGCATTAGCGTACAAGTATTCCTCGATGGATATAAGAGCATCCTTCAAGTGTATGCTCTGTAAAGATTGCAGACCAGCAAGGCTATCATTTCTAGATTTTATTCCATTAAAAAAATGTAAACTTTTTAAAATTAGTTTCCTGGAAATGGTAGAACTTGGGTACTAGACTAAGCAATCACCATAGAACACAAGAACTTAAACCAGAAGAACTTGGAGAAAATCTTGATAAACTAAGATTCTTCCAGCTCTTAGATTGTTTTGCATGTAGCTGATTTCTCATTCCACTTTAAAGAAATCAAAACTATAAAAGGCAGGTCACGCAATATAAGTGCAGTTTCCATACAAAAGGCCTTAGAGAAACCCAATCAACAGCCTCAGACTCCTGTCCCCACCCCCAAATAAAAGATTGACAAATGAATATGTTATATCTTAATTTAAAACAAATTACTAAGGTATGCACAGATCATTTTTTAGTGAAGCCCCATTAAATTAAACTCTTTGGAGAAAACAATTATAATCCTAATTGCATTGAGTAAGAGGTCATTTACTGTACAGGGAGGTCTTTTAAAAAACTAGTAAAACTTTTTTTTAAAAACAACATTCCCCAAGAATGCATCATCCTCCTTGTGTCTGATATTTCTTATTTTCTTCACTGCCCCATTTCTTCACTGGTCTGAAGACTTTCTAACTTTCTGGACCAGGAAATTAAAAAAGTCGGGAGGCAAGTATTGAAGAGAGAAGTCAATATTGGATTGCCAGATTTTTGTTTTGCCAAATGTGGGTATCTTTTGTTAAAGATATCTTCCAATTCTTCCTGATTTCTGAAATAAAAGACACTGTAACACTGGAAAGGACAATCTCTGCCTTTATGTCAATATATTTAGTTTTATAAAGAATTCATTACATTCTTTGGGCTCTCATTCAGCCCAAAAGAGAGATCATAGTCAGAGGGTGGGAACAAATCCTTATGTTCCCATTCAAGGTGAACTGCCACAAAGTTCATAGACAAAGCATTTACCAAGTTCTCACCATTACTCATTACTTCCTTCTCAGTCATTCCTCAGCTACAGAGAATCTGCCTTTCCCCTCCGCCTGCACTACCACTGCATTTCACTAACACTAAGCCCCCACCAAGCTGCCAGTCATCTCCTACCTGTTGCCATACTTGACCTTCCTGTAGTCATTGAATGTGAGCTTCTCCAAGGCAGACACTATGTCTTATCTAATCCTAGCATCCTATACAGAACTAGGCCAGTGCTTAATACATAGCTGCTATTCAGTAACACAGATATTAAAAGAAAGATAGTCATTTGCAGAAACCTCTAGGTTACTGAGAGAGAATCACGCAGTCACAAGAGAATTCAACTGCAGCTCTGTCTACAGGGTTCTCGACATACCTAAGATGTTAATTTCACCTACATCTTAAAGTTTTGCTACAGTTTTGATTTTCAGAAATGATTGATCTCCGCAAGATTTTCTAACATATTTTTCAAATTCCAATTCCAATTTCACCTTCGTTATCTGAAATTCAGCCCCTTGTGCTCATCAAACATACATGAACTGATAATAATCCCAGTCAATATCCCCATTTTCATTCTACAGTTCATTTTTTGGTACAGAAAAAGTGGGAAGGAGGAGGGAGATTTTGAGCAACCTTAAGACATCCTGTCAGTACTTCTTACGCATGCCTGGGTGTGGAGCCAGCTCCTTGCTGTGTATAATGAGGAAAGATTATAACATGTTGACAACTTTACTAAGTAACACTTCTCTAAGTAATTAAAATACTAAAATACTGACCCACAGAAAATGGTTTTGGTAGTTGTAAGAAATTTACTAAAATCTCATGGAACAGACACGTTTCAAAGAGCTGCTGGTCTAGAATGGGGGTTTATCAGCCACAGGGTGCCTGAGAACCACTTGTGAAGCTTTCAAAAATTACCTACCAAGAGTCTCCTCCCAGAGAGGCTGATTTCACAGACAGAGGTGGGGCCTGGACAGCTGTGCTCTCAAAGCCTCTCTGTTCTGAAGCTTACCTAGGTTGGGACTTGCCAGTCTAGAATGCAGTCTTTCAAGTATCTATCAGAATCTCCTAAAGTTATTTCACCATTAATTACTATCTTACAGTGACATAGTAAGGTGCAAGTTCTAACAATGACTGTACCATTTTCATAGAATATGGCACTCAAAATCACAAAGATGATCAATTTTATTCCTCTAATAAAGGCAATTCACCAGTAACTGGAAATAAATCAAGAGTGGGACTTACCCGTTCCACAGCTGCATTATGATCTGGGAGCTCCTCCTCACTGCAGAGGAAAAATAGTAATATATGAAATTGTTGAATTCAAAGCAAACTTTTCAAAATGTATATACTTATAGCTACATATGATATATAATATTTATTTGTCATATAAGATTTACATAAGCTTCCATTCACTGAAGCCCCATCTTCAAAATCCAGATCTACACTGTCAAATACGGTAGCCACAAGCCATATTTAATTAATAAAAAGCATCTAGTTAACATTATAATTTAATTTAGTTTAACACTGAGTTATTCAGTCTCACTAGTCACAGTTCAAGTGCATGAATGTCACGTAGCTAGAAGCTACCATATTGAGTGGTACAGATATGGAACATTTCCATCATTGCAGAAAGCTCCACTGGACAACACTGCTCCAGATTAGGAGTTAGCAAACTTCTTCTATCAAGATAAATATTTAAATAGTAAGTATTTAAGGCTTTCTGGGCCATACCATCTTTTTCACAACTATTCAGCTCCGATGCTGTAGTACAAAAGCAACCACAGACACTATGTAAATCAAGTGTGGCTCTGTTCCCACAAAACCTTTATTAAAATAGGTGGTGAACTGGATCTGGTCCACAGGCCACAGCTTGCCACCCTCTGCTTTAGACCAACACCTCCATTGTTGGTTCAAACTATGGCCTATAATCAATGGTCGTTTTAAAAATTAGCGTAAGGAAAAAACTGCCTCCAACAGACTTGTGAATTCAAAGAGAAAACTTTATTCAGTACAATAAAGAATGCTCAGCCGGGTGCAGTGGCTCACGCCTGTAATCCCAACACTTTGGGAGGCTGAGGCAGGTGAATCACCTGAGGTCAGGAGTTCGAGTCCAGCCTGGCCAACATGGTGAAACCCCATTTCTACTAAAAATACAAAAATAATCCCAGCTACCTGGGAGGCTGAGACACGAGAACCACTTGAACCTGGGAGGCAGAGGTTGCAGTGAGCCGAGATCACACCACTACTGCACTCCAGCCTAGGCAAGAAGAACGAAGCTCTGTCTCAAAAAAAAAAAAAAAAAAAAGTACGCTTCATTGTCAAAATTTCAAGAGATTATTTTTTAAGTGTACCCTAAAAGATCAAATTCATTTCTGATACAGTATATTTATAATATCTCTAATACAAAATATTATGAGATTCTTGTATTTACTGTCAGTAATATAAAAACAACACGCTATCCATAAACAAAGCTACGCACTTTGAGTAGCTTTCTCAGTAGCACTGTTTTGGCAACAATATGTTCATATTCTTGCCTTAGTTTCTCTTGAGATCAAATAATATACCACCTTGAAGAGCATGATAGAGTGGTATTCACCAGTTTGGTCTTTTCAAGGGCATTCTTTTTCTACTCTGAGGAGTCCTTAGGTGAACCATTACTACAGCAACAAAACTAACAAAAAAAAAGAGTAATAGCCAAGAGATCTGCAAGAGTCCAAATCTCTCATTTCACAGATAATAAAACTAACATTTTCACTTAGTCATTCAGCCTAATAGATGTTTAGCACTAATTCGGTGGGTTCAACTTCAGACAGACAAGATCTCAGATTGTGCCAGGAGTATATGAAGAAAAGGGATGAAGGTTGAGAAAACAATTCTCAAGAAAATGATTAAAAATAAAAAGTCTTCAGACCTCACAGATGGATGACAGAGTAAGTATGTGGTCCAGCTTTCCTACAAAGATTTTCTGGCATGATTTCTCCATGTCTAAAACTTTTCATGGAGAATCTGCTGTGTGCATACCAATCTCCACAGAGCTTTTCCTCCTCAAGTCTCTATGCCGGCATATGCTAACTTTCACAGTCTTCTGAGGACGACGCTGCTGCCGCTTACCAAGAGCTCCCTGTAATGCCCAGAATATGCACGTTGCTATGCTGGCACTCAGTAAATGTTGCTGGATGAAGATGTGAACAGGAAGAAGAACACATGCCTATAGGCATGGATACATGCTTACCTTGCCTCCTAAGTATCCTTCAAGTGCAAGAGGAAAAAGAAGGACCACAATCTGGACAAATGCAGAGAATTCCTTTAGGTCAGCACACTACGGCCCATAGGCCAAATCTGGCCCACTGTGTGTTTTTTTAAATAAAGTTTTAATGGAACACTGACACACTCTGTCATGGGTGTATTGTTTCTGTTTTTTTTTCATGCTGCAACAGCAGAGTTGAGCAGTTGTGACAAAGACCGTATAACCTACAAAGCCAAAGATCCTTCATATCTGGCTCTTTACAGAAAATGTTTGCCTAACCCCTGCTTTAGAGATCAAGGGCTTAAAAGCACTTAAAGGATGCTTTAACAAAACACTAAGGTGGTAGCAAGTACCTCTATCTCACAGAAATAGAGTAAGGGAAAACCATAAAACAGTCACCTCTGGAAAGAGAGAGCATAACTGGATACACTGTTCACCTACTCTTAAACTTTGAAAGTATTACCAATTAGAGTTTACATGCCTACAACCTCTTAACAGCTAGGTGGAATATTTATATTAACTACAGGATGAAATTTCATTTGGAAACTTAAAAGTTAACTTGTTAAAATTAATAAGATAACATTAATATTAACCAAATTCTATTTTCATTTTTAAAGTAAATTTTATCTGAGTTTAAATTTATCCCCATCAAAATTTATAGGATTGGTAGAAAGAGTTTTCAAGCCCTTGTAATCAAAATGATATTCTCTAAAAACAAACACACCTTTATTCTGCATATCTTACATAGTCATGTTACACAGTCATAGTAAACTACAGAGAGTCTGCTAACTTTTACAAGTATACACATTTTGATAAGAAGCTGAAAATCTGAAGCTTGGTATTACTTTTATCTTCTTTATTTCTGGTATGACTTCCTTCTAATTCTGCTATTAATAACTTGTGACCTAAACACATTATTTACCCTCATCCAAATACCAAACATTCTTTGTTAAGTAGACCAGCAGTGACTATGTTTGATTAAAATGTTAAAGTTCTCCGACTTCTTCCTTAAACAAGCTCTGTTCCTCCATTCTCCAGCTACAACTCCATCATGGCACACACTGGGGAGAATGCTCCACTGCTGAGTACTAAACAAAGAAGTTGCTCATCTAGCAGAGCCCAGTTGGTTTAGCAACAGCTTTCATATTTATTGTGTAACCTATTCCAAAACCAAGTTGTTCTATATTTGTTAATTAGTGTCACTCCACATATCACAACAGGTAATTTAAGTTTCTAAAACTGTAATTAGATATAAACTCAGACAACAAAGTTTACAAAGTTATTTTTGCCATTTTATTGTATTAACGTTGACTCTTAAAACCCAATTTCACTGCAGAACCAATCAAAAATTACAAAGAACAAAGACAGTAGAAAGAAATGTTCTTTTAGTCAAGGTATGACAGGGAGTAATATCCAAATGCTTACACTGAGTGATTTTATTCAATAGTGCATAAAACTCCAGTCTGTGGTGACAAGCAATAAAAACCACTAGTAATGATGTCTGCAGAAAATGTTTTACTTAAATTACTCATTGTAACAGAAATCACTGATTTTGGTGAAATTTATTAAAGCCTAACATTACCCTAATATCCACTTATATGTTTCATTATTTTCATTTGTGTTGCCTGTTTTAGGACTGCATCATGGAGTAAATAAAATTAGTGTGATAGTATGAGAACTAGTACCAATCTGCTGCAATTTCAAAAAAGCAGTGAGCTTAGCTATCTTAGTACGTATCTAAAAAGCAGTGATCATTTCAAACAGCATCCTTCTCTTTAGGTATTCTTTTCCCCCTTTAACTTTCTTTCTAGGCATTTCAAAGCACTTGTTCTGTATTTCTCTTATTTAAAATACAAGAAAGCAGCAACAGACAGTATACTGTAGTAGTTCAGAACACAAGCTCTGCAGGAAGACTGCCAAGGTCCACACCCTAGAGCTGATGCTCACTGTCAATACAACATGGGCAAGTTAGTTGACCTCTGTGCTTTAGTTTCATCACCTAAAAAGAGGAAGACAAAAACAAACCGACCCCAAAGAGCTTTTCAGGGGAATAACTGAATTATTCCAAAGAGCATAGAAGAGTGCCTAGCACACAGTAAGTGCACAATATTAGCACTTTTTCCCCACTACAGCCAAATGGACCTTAACACAGACAGTAAAAAAAAACAAATACAAAAGAAATGACGGCAATATTCAGATTGCCAGACACAGACTAGGCTCCTGGGCCAGAACCACTTAGTTCAAGGCTATAATAGTTCAAATACCGTTTTATATCAAGAAATGCTTCTCAAGAAGCAAGGGTCAGAGAGACTGGCTGCTTTCACTGGGGAATGTCTTCCCACCCAACTATCACAAGTGTGGACAAATCACTGGATCCACGTTTGCAGGCAAGTTTGGGACCCACTGGTGTTAACAGTCTTAATGCTCAAATTGTCCGTCATACACTAACCCACACATATTTGCAGTCATTTCTTGTCACATTTATAGCCAAGTTTGATGGCTCACACCTGTAATCCCAGTGCTTTGGGAGACCAAGATGGGCTCAGCCGTTCGAGACCAACCTGGCCAACATAGTGAAATCCCGTTTCTACTAAAAGGACAAAAATTGCCAGGTGTGGTGGTGCGCACCTATAATCCCAGCTACTTAGGAGGCTGAGGCAGGAGAATCGCTTGAACTGGGGAGGCGGAGGTTGCAGTAAGCTGAGATCACGCCACTGCACTCCAGCCAGGGCAAGAGAACAAGGCAGTTTCTCAAAAAAAAAAAAAAAAAGTAGGGATGTAGATTTAATTTAAGAGCAGTATTTCCACCACAGTTAAAAATTCTGTTAGTCTAGTGCAGTTCAAAGCCTTCTGAATATAGAGGTGGGAAGACTGCTTGAGGCCAGGAGTTTGAGAAACAAGGCCAGACCCCAGCTCTACAAAAATAAAGCAAAACAAGGTCTTCTGATTATAACTACTCAGAAGAACATTTCAGATATGCTAATGTCATTAGGTATAATCACACTTTATATACGTCCAGAACTTTACAAAGTATTCTTATATTTTATTTTTTCAAAGCTTCAAATATACCTGAATGTACATAAAATAGATATGTAAACTAATTCCTGTTTTTAAAATGAAGCACAAAATGATTACATGACCAAGAACAGCAAAGCCACAAGAAGAGCACACATTCTCCAGTTCCGGGTTTCTGTTTGTTGGTTGGTTGCTTTTACTCTCAGAAAAATATAATACTACAAAATAAATTCTAGACTCAAAAAAAAAGAAGAAAAGAAGGTATGAGGACTGTACATTACTAAGAACTACACAAAAAATGTTTTTCCTTCAAAATTTAATCAAGTATCAGAAAATAAAAATTCCTGGCTTTTTTTCCTATTTATAATAACTGAAATTGGAAAAGAGCACAGTTGAATGAAAATTTAGTTAATCCTTAAATTGTATGGAATCAAAGTATAAAGATGAATAGATTCTACCCTGTTGGAATCTGTTTAAACAATGTAAAAATCAGAACAGACAGATTCATATCATGTGCAGAATGTTTTTAAGGATCCAAATTATTTTAACTCTCTGAATTCTTCATATAACATATTCAGGATGAATGGAATTAATTTTGAGAAGCAATATTATGAATACATTTATAACTATAAGGAAGAGCAATGGCATTTCTTTACAATGCTCATTTTTAGGCTGCATAACAATAAAGTTCAAATTGCTATTTATTTTTAAAATGCATTGGTACACTATGAAATGTTTTATAATTTTTTAAATAATGCAAATCATACATGTGCATTTAGCTCTGTTAAATTATTAATGTAACTCATTTGCTGCATTTAATGTTTTTACTAAATTGCAAAAATATTTAAAATTACATTCTTAAACATAGTTAAATTTTAATCACAGAGTTGTTAAGAATCCCAAGAATTTAGTACGGAAAAGCATATTGTAAGACTATTACTTACTCACTGTAATTATGTAAAAAAATTTTAAAAATCTATGTAATAGGTAACCATAGAAACATTATAATCAAAAAAGCAAGCTTTCAATCTATGTGACTTACTGTAAAAAGCCAAATCTATCTGTGACTTTGTATACAAGGTAATCAGCATCTTCCCAAGGTTCAATCTCTGCACCTTCTCGTCCCTAAAATAAGGCACACACACAAAAATGTTAATCAGAGTTTACAAAACTAAAATTTTTTTAAAATAAAAGAATGAGGAAATAAGGGCTATTTTTAATGTACTATTAAAAATAAGAGCTGGAAATGAGGCATTACGAACCTTAACATTTTTTCCCCATTTAAACCCAACTATTTTTGGCAAGATAAACACTATTTCCTAGTTATGACTCTGGAAGATACTGTGTGTCAGCAGCAGCTGACGTGGAGCTGAGCCTGGATCAGGCCAGGGTTCCTTGAGGAAGCTGATGAGGAAAGAAGAGCGATGGGAATGAGAAAGCCACTCAAGAGAAACTGCCGAACCTTACAGTTCTAGACCAAACATTTCTCAGAAAAAGATGCGTTTTTTTGTTTGTTTTTTTGTTTGTTTTTTGCCTTTTTATGCAAACTCCTCAGAGAAGCAGGCAGAGAAGCTCCTTGTCTATTTCTTTACTTCACAGCTATGCCAGCCTAAAACTACTCTTAACCAAGGTCAAAAATGGCCTTCCAGCTGTCAGACCCGGTGGACACCCCTCAGGCCTCATCTAATGGATCTCTGAAGTGTACTTGTCGGTGTTGCTCACTCCTTCTTCCCAGCTCCTGTGACACTGTCCTCTCATGGTCTCCTCATGCTCGACAACTCTTCTTTTGGCTTTTTCTTTCTTTCTTTTTTTGAGACAGAGTCTCGTTCTGTCGCCCAAGCTGGAGTGCAATGGCGCGCTCTTGGCTCACTGCAACCTCTGTTCTTGCAATTCTCCTGCCTCAGCCTCCCGAGTACCTAGGACTGTAGGTGCAAGCTGCTACGCCTGGCTAATTTTTTGTATTTTAGTAGAAATGGGGTTTCACTGTATTGCCCAGGCTGGTCTCGAACTCCTGAGCTCAGGCAATCCACCTGCCTCGGCCTCCCAAAGTGCTGCGATTACAGGCATGAACCACCGTACCTAGACTCTTTTGGCTTTTTCATGGGTAACTCTTCATTGTTGGTGTGCTCAGAGTTCGGTCCACAGCCCACTGTTCTTCTTAATGTACGTATCATTTACTCGTAGGCTATTAACAAACACTGATCAGTGAAGGAACCCCAAATACATCTATCTATGCCAATCCTTCTAATTTTAGACTCAAACTCCAAACTGTCTTGTGGGCACCGCCATCTGAGTATATTTTATAACTGTCTGCTTGTGTGTTCTTCTCTCAGTACACTGCGATCATGCTGTAGGCAAGGACTGCTGGCACTCATTTCTGTCTATGAATCCCCAAGCATGATGCCTGGCCTGTGTTAACTGTGGGGGAAAAATGCACACAAGCAGGAATGAATGACGGTGACACTGGTTTTAAATTAGTGAAGCAGTTAAATAAGTAAACTGTTTCTGATGGACTACAATGAAATCTCATCACAGTAAGGGAAACCGTGTCTGATGTTCCAAAAATGAACTCTGATAAGCTGAGCACCATCTTATGCCTCATGGAAGGAGGGCACAGTCCAGGTGGCTTTCTATGATTTCATCTCCTGTTATTCTCACAAATAATCAAAAGGAACAGATATACAATTACATGCAAGTGATACAAATACAAAACATAACATTTATAAATCATTGCTAGGACTCATTATAGACCTCAGGAGGTAAGGTATAAGGAGGTATTTCAATTGTCAATAATTGTGATTTTCTGTAATATCAAAAAGAGATTCCATACCAACATAAGGACAAAATGCTAATGGAAATTAGACATAAATGTATAAATTCAAAATCAAAGATCCATGGTAAATTTATAACAGCAGATGTAAATTATGAATGCAATGGATATGTAGTTCAATATACTTATTTAGTCAAGTATTTATTGAGTACCTAGTGTGAATCAGGAAATGCTTAGGATACAAAAGTAAATCAAAGAAAAGAAATTCCTGCCTAGAAGGTAGAGTCTCGGCAGGTGTACCGAGTGCTACAGGTAGAAGCAGGGGCATTAAACAGGGAGGTGGGAGGTCAGAGAAGATCTCAGTAAGATGGTAGCATCTGGGGAAAGATCTGAAAGACGTGAGGCAATGAGACATGAGGATATCCAGGACACAAGTGTCCCAGGCAGAGGAAACAGCCAGTGCAAAGGCCCTGAGGCAGGAGCAGGCCTGGTGTGGTGAAGGAACAGCAAGAGACTGAAGTGGAGAAAAGGAGAATGAAAGAGAGGAGATGAAGTCAGAGAAGAAGGACGACCTCTATGTCCCTGTGAAGTAAACAAACTGCTTCTGTAATTTAAGCTCTCCAAAAAGCAAATCCGTTTCTATTTATATGGTTTTCTAATAAAACTCACTCAAAGAGTAAATATGGATACTTACTCTGTCATATTTAGCAACTATTTCAGCTCGCTCCTGGGCAAGTTTGAGTGCTACATCCTGGTCTGAATCTGCGGAGAAGACATCAAATTTAAATGAACTGTTATTGAAAGAATCGTAGTTAATTAATTATGAAACTAAGACAAAATAAATACAAATAAAACAAAACAATGAATACTGCCTAAAATGACAAATCAACAAAATCAAATAAAAGAACAAGTTAAGTATTTGTAACTACAACGTTGGAATGGCAATACAAAGTAATATTCAAAAAAAAAAAAAAAGCAAGTGTATTAAGGCATACACTTAGGACATAATAAATCTTATCCTTCATGAATTAATTTTGGATCTAAAATTTCACAGAAATTGATATTAAGTAGAAAATGAAACTGAAAGCTCCAAACTTTCAGATGAAGCCCACTTGGGTAGAAGAGATGAACATTCAAAAAGGCTTTCAAAAATTAAAGGAACTTGGATCTCCACAAAATAAACTAGCACAAGATACAATATTTATTTTACATGATACAAATACATCTTCGTCTAGCCTTTTAGGTCTCTTTATCAACAGTCTCAGCTGCCATAATAATCTCCTAACTGATCCCTAGGACTCTGGTTTTATGATACACATGTGTGTTTACACACACACACACACAGACACACATACACATCCTTCATCCTCATTAACACTAGGAGACTTTCGAAAACACAAACCTGACAACAAAAGTTGAGATCATAACGTGAAATAGCATGAATATGTACCATGCGGTTTTTTTTTTTTTAAGATCAAAAACAGGCTATATAAAAGGCATCTCTTATCCAAAAAAAAAAAAAAAAAAAAAAGCATTCTAAGAGAAAATTCGGCAACGGTTATGAGCAAGAAATTCCCAAAAGTAGCAACAGCAGTAACAACGGTAACAACTATATTGCATTCTTACTAAGTGCCTGGCAGACAGTAAGATACTGCCAGGCAGCAAAAACTGTGCTAATCACTTTACCCTGCCTTATCACATGACACTCTAAGGTAGGTAACATTAAGAATCCTACACCAATGATTTAAAAAAAAAAAAAAAAAAAAAAAGGCTTAGAGATTTTAAGCAACTTGTCCACAGGCAAAGATAGTTTTCAATTCCGGTCTTAACTCCACAGTCCACAATTTTAATTACTACTTTATAAAAATGATTACTAAAGACATAGATGGCAGATGGAACACACACTTTTACATCCATTTCTCCTAAAACCCCACTACAATGACAACTATAGGGATTCCTGAAATGCCCTCCTCAAAGCAAATGGTGGTTCCTAAGGAGAGGTGGGGTTAAAAAAAATGGAGCTGAGTAAAGAAAGTCAAGTCCCTGAAAGTTGAAGGGACACACGCGTGTAGCAGAGCCAGGTGCAGGGTGGAAAACCAAATCCTCATTCTCCAAAGCAGGAAATCAATAGAAATGCCAAAAACGGAAGATGCAGGAAGTAGCAATACTGGCATATTACCTAGAGTAATGGAGGCACACAAGAAAAGAATCCACCAGGGCAGTGTAGAGTGCTTACTTCTATGGAGCAGGCAGTGAAAAACACAGGAGTCTGCTATTTTCAAAATAAGTCGTACAGACTGCTGAATCGTTAAGCCAAATATAAGTCTGATAAAAATAAAATGTAAAATGAAAAACCAAGACATAGAAAAAAAAAATCAACCTCATTAGTAACTAAAGAAACACAAGTTTCAAAATATCACTGTGCACCTATTTAGCCTAACCAAAAAAATGCATGGATAATACTCAATGTTGACAACAATGTGAGGACATTTCCACTTCCTTACAATGAAGACAAACATATAAATATATAAAATCTTTCTGGAAAGTAATTTGATAATATGTATTAAAAAATCTGAAAACAGATGACATATCCTTACACAGCAATTCTACCTCTATAGATTTATGCCAGTGAGATAATCAAATAACACAAGGTTGTTTATAAGAGTAAAAACAGCAGAGTGGGAAGTTGTAAGTATGTAAAAGCTTATTTGGGAAAAAATGTTTGTGTCACTGCTTCTCCCAGTTAAACTACAAAATGTTAATATGCTTCCCTTTGGGGGATGTGTGAATAACTAAACAGAATGATTCAATAAAATAAAAACACACGAGTTGTTCAGATTTTCACCATGAATTAATGCAAACAGAAGACTGAGATAATCAACTCAATTATACACATATTCACTAACCTATTTTAGACTTATGAGCCTTTGTCAGTTTCTTTTTCACTCTTCTGTTGTCCAATTTTAAAACATGATACTCACACATCTACCAAAGTGTAAGGAATGCAAATTAATAGAAATGAAAATCAAGCTGGGTGTGGTGGCTCACGCCTGTAACCCCATAGCAGGCAGATCACTTGAGGCCAGGAGTTTCAGACCATCCTGGCCAACATGGCAAAACCCCACCTCTACTAAAAATACAAAAATTAGTTGGGCATGGTGGTGCGCACACCTGTAGTCCCAGCTAGTTAGAGGCTGAGGCAGGAGAATCGCTTGAACCCAGGAGGCAGAGGTTGCAGTAAGCTGAGATCGTGCCACTGCATTCCAGCCTGGGTGGCAGAGTGAGACCCTGTCTAAAAAAAAAAAAAAAAAAAAAGAAAGAAAGAAAGAAAGAGAAAAGAAAAGAAAAGAAAAGGAAAAGAAAAGAAATTAAATTCAAATGAGAGAATCTGACTACTTATGAAACTTCATTTCTATTATCAGAAACATGCATTTCTTTGGTAATTAGGCCAAATTCAATAGATGAATGCTTTATTGGAATGTCTTTTATACCAGTCCCTTATTCCTGCTACCAGTCCTAGGAGTCTCAAGTATACTTCCAACATAACAACGAAAAGTTTCAAACTGTAAAGGCAAGGAATGGGGTTGGGAAGTGAAGGCGTGAAGCAGCCCAAGAAAACATCATTGTAGCAAACTATAAAATACAAACCTTTACAGAGATCACTGTCAGTCTATAGAGACTTCCAGACAAACCTTTACAGAGATCACTGTCAGTCTATAGAGACTTCCAGAAATACTGTACTTCTTATTGGAATTGGATGAAATTGTATCCTGATTTTTTGGGAGAAGGATGATGTACTTTAAAGTGATCAGAACAGTTAACTCTAAATCAAATAAATAAATTCTCAATCTTTAAACTCCCTTAGAAATTTCTTATCCCTGAGTTTCCCCATGGGGAGAAAATTTTATAATATTAATGTATGTATTCTAAAAGGAGGGTGAATTTAAAGCCAAGGGCATTTTGGAAAATATAGCCAAATCTGCTTCTTAAAGGAAACTCAATGAAACATGTCAATCTTTGCCAATATTCAGTTTAGAGACATTATTTGAAAATCTGCATTGCAAGGCAACCATCTATACAATAAGAAACAGTATCCTTAGGTAGGGTTTGCTGTAGTTAAATTATGGCTCATACTATCTGGTCTGAAATTTATTAAGAATTACACTAGAATACTTCCCTTGGTTTCATTCTGATTACTTATTTAGAAATTCTGTTGAAAGAACCAACAGTGTGCCCCAAAACAGTGACTGCAAATGGTATCAACAGCTGTCTTGTGTCTGTGTGCAAACGTGAACAAGGTTCCAGACACCTATAAACAATGGCAGCTGTGTTGGTTGGTACTTACGTCACATCATTATCAAATACAAATTTAATCGGGGCATTATCCCAACAATTCACACCACATCTTTATGCTCTCCTTGCATGATAAATCCATAATTAATATGTTTATTTGGAAAAATGTGGTTTGAAATACAATACCACTTGTCAAAATATTACGGTAAAGAGCAATCATGAGTGTTAACTGTAGCTGAGGAAAAAGTTCCTATTAGTAAAAATAAAAATAAAACCATGTGCAGAAATATGTAGCTTAACTACTTTCTTTTCTTTCAAGACCGAGTGTCACTCTGTTGCCCAGGCTGGAGTGCAGTGGTGTGATCTCAGCTCACTGCAGCTTCTACCTCCCAGGTTCAAGCTAGTCTCCTGCCTCAACCTCCCGAGTAGCTGCGACTACAGGCGTGAGCCACCATGCCCAGCTAATTTTCGTATTTTTAATACAGATGGGGTTTCACCATGCTGGCTAGGCTGGTCTCAAACTCCTGACCTTAGGTGAGCCACCCACCTCAGCCTCCCAAAGCGTTGACATTATAGGCGTGAGCCACTGCACCCAACTGAGATCAACTACTTTAAGTATCAGTCCTCTAATTTCACCAGGATGTTAGTTTAAAAAAAAAAAAAAAACAACTATATTATCCAAGCCAAATTAAACCAAATTATTTTTGATGACTTTATATCTAATGTAACAAAGTTTCACAGTAAAAGAGGCATATTTCAAGCAGTAAGGATCAGAAGATATTTGAATACTCAAGTGTGCAGGAAATACTCAAGTATACAAGAAAATAGCACAAATTTACAGATGAAAACGACTATACATTTTTAAGAGGCATTTTAAAAACTGAAAACCATACAATTCTAAGATGACCTCTTTTTCCATTTAATCTGCCAAGAACTTTTAAGAATCCAGTATCCTCCTGAGTTATATGATTTAAAAGCAGGCATTATATCTTAATGCCACTCAATTAACACAAAGTTGCAATGAAAAATTCATACAGTTACTAAAGTTTATTTACAATAGAACAAAACTTACAGCAGACTATTTTTCCTACAGTACATTTTGACAAATGAACATTAAAAATATAAACAATATAAACTTTAAAAGTACTTTACCCTTTGTCAGATAATCAGTCTGGCCTTGGGAATTAACAACAGCTTCAGTCCTCATAGAGTAACTTATCTATTGCAAGATTTCATTATTATTTTATAGTTCTCGAACACACCAAGAGCGCTAGGTAGTACCTCACACATTCTGCAATAGCTAAAACAAAGAAAGGCAGAAGTAGCTCTACTTTATCTGTGAAACAAGCACAAGAAGAAAGCATTTGAGATGCATTTGGTCTTCTTCTAAGGGGGAAAAAGACCTTGCCGTGGTTACACAGACTATATATTTTCAAACAAAGCTGATCATTGTTGAGAATGAAAACATG